TATATATATATATATATATATATATATATATATATATATATGAAGATACTATAAAACGCCTATAGGTGAAATCGAACAGTGATTTCGCCGACCTTCATTACTGTCAACAATTCATCACACAGTTACGATTGTCCGGTAGTGTTTTATTTTTCTTTTTTTTTTCCTACAAATCGGAATGACTTGAAATTTTGAGCGTATATTCATAAAAAATAGACAAATCTACGAAAAATATCAAAAAAATATTTTACATGAAAATATTAACCAAAATACCTTCGAAAAGTTTTGACGGTATTTTGGTCGATTGTTTTTTTGAAATTTTTTTTTTTTTTATATTTGTTTTAGGTGCGCCTCACTAAGATGTGCATACTCTCCAAATTTCAGATCATTCCGATTTGTAGAAAAAAAATGAAAAATGAAACACTACCAAACAATTGTAACCATGCGATGAACTTTGGACGGTAATGAGGGTAGGCAAAATCACTGTTCATTTTTGCCCATAGGCATTGGGAAGATTTTTCCATATATATATATATATATATATATATATATATATGAATATGAATATGTACCAGTTATGTGTATATATGTATTGAGCGTTTGTTTGCTTATATGTTTTCAGGAGCACCCTTTCATTGCTAAATATGATGATTGGAACATTGATCTAGCCTCCTATTTCACTAGTGTGGGATCTCCGCTAGCTACGTTCTGAACCTCAAATCTGTTTTTTATGTATTGCCATCTGTTTTTGATGTAACCAACCTTTCGAGTGAGACTTACATTTGATATTAGCTCAATAAGAGATGAGGAAGAACATATTGTTTGGTTCATGCTCAGATTCTTTATTAATGATGCATGTAACTTGGTGCGGTTATCTTTCTATAGTTTATAAGTTTTTGCTATTTTGCGACAAGGGCAATAATATTACATCCTTCTTGTTTTTACTGTAACAGTTCACTGGGAAGTATCTACCATCTTTTCTGCAAAGAGTTGTAACCATGGTTATCACTTTATTTCACTAGAACTACGGTTCCTCTCCTTCATTCATCTTCTGAATAAATATTGTTCAGTGGAGGTATCTCTTAGAAGGGATGTGTATGCTTGTTGATTAGCCTCTATGTTAATTTTATGACAGTGAAATAGTTGTTGTACTAGAAAAATTTCTCCAATTTAATTTGCTACACAAAACTACTATCCATATACAATTAGAGTTTATAATGTACTTGAAAGGTGATATTAGGTGATCTGCGAGATGATAGAATCATTTTAGCCCTTGGAAGCTGAAATTCTTGGGCTAGAAGGCATGTTAATTAGGGCAGTGCAATCGGGTTGGTCGACCAATAGAGACCCGACTTGGGTTTGGCTTCCTGTCCAGCTTGTGGACCTGGGCAGGTCAGCTCACGGTCCAGAAGTATGGACTCAAGATTCGGTTTAAAAAATGGTGATCGCAATCGAAATGTTGTTAAAAAATTATAAAAGATTCTTAAAAATAGGAAAATATGTTTAAAGTAATATTAAACAAAACACATCTTAAAAATGGTAGTAACAAATGGTTTGTGACAAAAAAAATCAATTTGTGAATGAGGGTATTTTAAAAATAATCCAAAAAAAAGAAAATGTGAGGAAAAAAATTCATGTCTTTTTACAAGGAATATAATAAGCACATTGATTTTTCATACAAAACATTCCCATCACCTCAACTGTCGGATGTCAACAAAAAATGGTTAAGTTGTATTGTTCCTCGGCAGCATGTCTTTCAATTTTTTGGACAGAAAAAGTTTATATAAAGATGCTACCTTATAATGTAGAACTACGGATACCCTTCAAAAATCCATCTGAAAAAGTAGTTTTAATGTTGAAAAACCTTTTGATTGATCATCCCGAAATCGAGATGTATGACTATGAAAATTAAAAAGATTTGAAGTCTCATAAATAGTGCATTTTAGAACATATTATCTATACCGTCCATTTTCAAGATTGTCAGATGTTTATAGATCTACTTGATTTTAACCATTTTGAAATTTAAAATTTTATAATTAGATATAAAAATAGATTTTGAGATAATCCTAAAAACATTTTACATCAAAATTATATACCACGATAAATTTTGAAGGTGCACCTTACCTCTATACCTACGGGTGTACCCGTATGCGAACTGCACCCTTTTTTGACAGACTATGTGAGGAGCGATATGCCCCAACCTAACTATTACTGGTTGACATTTAAAGACTTAGATAATGTGAAATTACTGTAGGAAAACCAGTGTGTTCAAGGAATATATTTTCTGCCGAGAAGAAAGGAAAAGAGGGAGATGAATCAACAATAATGAAAAGTGAAAACACTTGCTGGGAGACATGTGCTTTAAAATATTGAAATCTCAAACAAGTGCTTGGACAAATGAATTGCACTTTAGCCCATGGTACATAGAAAATGATAAAAACCAAAGGGCAATGCACATTTTACCCTAATGTCCATTGCTACTTGTAATGTAATTTTCATTTATTCTTGAGAAATTTATCAAACTAACTTTAAGATGCACTATTTTTACATTTCACCCATTTCCTTTTGTCCTAATTTAAAATGCCAATCAAAGGGCATGCCAACATGATAGGCAGTTTCCAAGTTAGCTTTTACACATCAAAATGAAAGTAATTTTTTGGAAAACCACAAAATTGGTGTGCATTGGGAAGGATTTTGATTCAAAAATAAAGTTTTAGAAAAAGCACATGGGGGGTGCTTCGAGAAAAACGAAAAATTTGGGGATTTGTATGAGACAATGGGGATGCCTATTGTATAGATTATGATTTAGAGGGGAGGGATATAAATTTATCTTTTTCCTTCTTATGCATTTGCACAACAAAACAATGCTTTATATGGTTATATTGTGAAGTTGTGGCACTATATATAGTAGGAGTTAGCATTGCCTCCCATTTCTTTTGTTGACAAAAATCACAATTAAGAAAGCAATGACCTGCAAAAGAAATGATATTTTTTTTTTTTTTAACAAAAGGCCTAAAAGAGGACTCAATGCCTAGTTTTGGTAAGTCTCACCTTCTACCTATTATTGCACATCCAGGTGGTGCTTACACTCATGACCATAGATGTCGTGTAAGCCATTTGATCATAAGTCATGTTGGTTACAGTACATTTTCTCTTTCATGAAATACAAAGTGGTTTATCTTGTAAAAGACGTTTTGGACTGTCTATTTCATGTATTCATAACTCTATTGGCTCTATACCATTCTTGAATCTTAAAAAATGATGTATCTTGTAACACATTTTTAGATTATCTATTTTTAAGTGCTTGCAGCTCTACTAAATAAGCAACAGTTTGAAGCTTTAGATTTCATAATTAAGGGCTGAATGAATTTAGAAACCTATTCACAAAGAGCCTTTAACTCTTAGCAAGATATGACTTTAAGAAATATTGCAAGGTTAGGAACTTACAAAAATTACACCTCTAAGGGGAAAAAAAAGTATTAAGTCATATTATGAAAATTTTAGGAAAATTTATCAAAATAACCATAAAAGATAAACAATTTAATATTTTACTCATATCTTTCGGTATAATTACAAAAAACCAATAAAAAACACATGGCAGTAGGTTGGAATAGTTGCAAATAGGTAAGATGTTAAATTGTTCATCCCTTATCACTATCTTGATAAAGTTTTATTTCAAAGATAATTATATGTCTTGGGCATGAGATTTGAGAATTTATTTCCATGTCATCGATTCGGGGAAGGGATGCTTGAAATACTAACAAGTAGTATGAGATGAGATAGCTTCTTACAATTTTGGAAACCAGTTCAATGGTGGTCTGATTTTTACCTCAGTGTATCTATCTAACAATTTCCACCACCATTCGAGGTTTTAAGTGGATCATCATCGAAGGTGCTCAATAGCTACTTTCACAGCTACTTATAGAAACAAATTATGTATATGTATGGACCAATTTTTTTACCAAAATTACAGTAAGGTCCATATTTTTTGACATTTTATGTGAAGGTCTCTCCTTTTTTTGCTTTTTTATTCTCGTTTGGCCTTCAAGTTGATGTTGCAAATATCTGACTATTTTTTATATTCTAAAAAAAGCATAAAAGATATCCACTCTTTTTTTCTTTTCTTTTTTTTTTTCTTCTAAAAATTCATTTAAAAACCAACTTCTTCTAAAACTATGTCCATACCCACTTTTCTCTATTTTTATAGATAAACAAGTAGGGTTCTTCAATGAAGAAGGCTTTACTTTGAAATAGATAGATAGATTTCTAAGAACCTTTTGTACATTCTCCCTTAGTAGATCAGCTACCAATTCACAACCCATAAGAGCCCCATATAAAGACAATTAAAGCTTTGCATCACAAACCCCATGATGAACAAGCGCTGCAACCCAAGCTTTACATCACAAACACCATGAAAGCTCTAAAACCCAACTTTCACATATCCAAGCATCAATACAACTCACCAACATGTAACGATTCAAAACCAACTCGTTTAAAACCCAAAACCCACTTACTTGAAAGAACAAAAAAAGAAAGGAAAAAACAAAATGCAATATTCAAAAAAGAGAAAAGTTTATATACAGCCAAGGTTCTAAACAATCAAATTTGATCCTATATCAAATTTTTCACTAAAAGAGGTTATTTTGATGCCTGAATATTCTCAAATTGATCATTTTGATATCAAGATGCATGGACATGAGAAAAAAATAGATTTTAAGTTTCAGGAATAGTGTATTTTGTAACACATTTTTGGACCGTCAATTTTCAAGATTTTCATAGATTTATGGATGTACACTATTTTTGAAGCTTTAAACTTTATAAATAAAGATAAAAATATATTTTAAGGCTATCACAAAGATTTCCAGTATTGAAACCACATTTTCTCGACACTATTTGAAGGTAGGCTCTAATTTAATCGTTTAGAGCTTAGGCTCTATACAACCTGCACTCTTCAAAAAAGGGAAAAAATTTATATAGAGCCGAGGCTCTAAACAATCAAAGTAGAGATCATCTCAAAAATTTCACTAAAAGAAGGTGGTTTTGATGCCCAAATGTCTTCAAATTGATCATCTTGGCATCAAGATGCATGGACATGAGAAAAAAATAGATTTCAAGTTTTATAAATAATGCATCTTGTAACGTATTTTTGGACCATCAATTTTCAATATTTTTTTCAGTTTTCTCGATCTACACTATTTTTAAGCTTTAAATTTTATAATTAAAAATAACAATATATTTTAAGGCTATCGCAAAGATTTCCCGTTTTGAAAACACATTTCTCATCACACTATTTAAAGATGCATTTTACTTTAAGGCCGTGTTTGATAACTAGAAGATACTTGCCAGAAGATGAAATTTCCTGTTTGATATAACAAAGTAAGTTAAAAAGGTAACTTACTTGCTGTTACCTTTTTTTAGGCTTAAATAAAAAGAAAAATTGCATAAAATCCCACAAATGGGCTTTCAAAGCAATTTACCCCAATGTAACTGTTCCTAGCAACTTTTTTCAAATACCCCCAACTAAAATAAAAAAACCTAAAATTACCTTTCCTTTTGAAAAAAAAAAATGACTAAAATATCGCTTGGCACTTCACCATGGCGGTCTCACGTTTGGAAGAGGTGTTATGACACTTAAGTCACACATTTTGAACCGTCCGGCACTCCACCATGGTTGTCTGACACTTCACCATGGCGGTCTAGTGTTTGGAATAGGCAGGCCGACGCTTCGAAGAGGTCGTTTCGGTATTTTATAAGTGCAGTCTGTTATCTGTTTCTGGATTAATGAGCGGTCCAGCATTTGTGAGCTAGCTACGGCTGGAATAGGTGGCCCGACAGTGTACAGTTTCGATCCGACATAATGGAAGGGTCTGGTAATACATCGCAATTTACCTTTTTTTTATTGGGATCCGAAAATGATTTGTTATGTATAAAAATAATATTTTTTTTAAAAAACAATTATTATTATTATTATTTTTTTGGTATGGAGCTATTTTGCTATAAAACTTGATTTTTTTAAAAAAAAAACATGTTAAAAAGCATTAGAGTAGGAAAAGTGCCTAAACAGTCAACGGGTCTATACAATTTTCCCGATATAAAAACACGTCACTGGAAAAAGCGTACCTCGCTTAAGGGTAAAAGTAAGTTACCCACCCCCCACTGCTCAGCGAAGAAGAGGGTGCTTGCTTGCCCCAACTGCCCTAGCCGCATAGCAGAGACCATCTCGCGTTTTCTCTTTGCGCGTACGAGCCTCCTTACAAAGGTACATCTCAGTTTTTTCTCTCTCCTGCTTTTTTGTCTCTGATTTTTTTCTTTATCCCATGTTTTTTTGGTCTTTGATTTTTTCTCAAACGTTCCGAACATGGTGAAAATGGATCTAGGGTTTTCTCTGAATATTATTTTGTGGTAAATTGTTCTATGTAAGGGAAATTTAATTTGGCTGTTTTTTTGGTAAACAGTCTTGGCCCTCATCCCTCCCTTGAAGCCTTCCTCTCTCCACTCGATCTAAATTTCACAGTTCTCTCATTTTCTAATTCTTTTTTTCATCTGGTTTCTTCTACTACACAGGTGACAATCATAACCATTTGGTGTCCCCTTTTTCTTTTTTCTTTTTCGTGACTGCTATCAACTGAAAATGAGATAATCAATGAGATTGCTTACATTTGATTGATGGTTAGCTTTTTTTTTTCTTCATTGATAGTTCTTTTGTTGGTCGTGAAGAAAAGAAAGAAAAAAATTTATAGTATTGCTTTCCTTTTTGCCATAGGTTTAGATTAAACTTACTTTTTATTTTTCAATATCAGGCATTGGGTTTTATCTGACCATTGAGATTGTCGTTATAGAATCAGCGAACAAAAAAAAAGAGCACAACGTGTTATAGATTGACTGGAATTTTTTGCAAATAACAATATTTCTCAAGGAAATCAGCAGGAAATTTGTTGAGTTTGTGGTGGAATTTTAGTACAGGAAATAGTTGAAGAATCCAATAGTCAATTTAATTAATCCTGACTATTTGATGTATAGAATAGTTTTTCTAGGCCAAAGAAAACAAATCATTGCCAGATATATATATATATATATATATA